TCTTTATTTCGACATTGAAAAGTGTCCTGACCTAAACGGTTCTTTAGTAAGGTCCCGAACATTGTCCAATTAGTTTTAGACTTATTCCGAAACTTTATCGGCTTTGGTGGTGGCCTTAGTATTTTGAATCTTATGTACCGATGATCAGAAAAGGAGTGCTCGTCCGAAACTCTCCAATCCTGAATTTCGTTTATAAGCTCTTCTGAACATATAGTTATATCTAATACTTCTTCTCTGATTCTATTGACGAAGGTAGCTTTATTACCTAAGTTCAATGTTATCAAGTCTTTAGTATTAAAGAAATCCATGAGGGCTTGTCCCCTGCGATTGGTGTTTGTACTACCCCAAGCTACATGATGCGAGTTGGCATCACAACCTATTACAATTTTCTTATTTTTCCTTTGTGCCTCTTCAACCAGTTTCATCAGATCCGACGTTGGTGGTAGTGTCGGAGAATCGAAAGGTAGGTAAATAGATGCAAGGAATATGTTGCCACGACCTTGCTTCAGCACCGTTGCATCCGATGTTGATAATCCTGTTGAGAGGAGAAAACATAAGTTCTTGTGACATAAGATACATGTTCTCGGGCGAGATCCTGTATCAGCGTAGAAAAGTTGGAAATTTACGTGATTTAATCCAGAAACCTTGTTGCGAATCGTCCAAGGTTCCTGGATTAAAGCTATATGTATTTTACCTGTGTTGATTTTAGCCATCAGAGCGTTGGTAGCTGTCTCGCTCCGATGGAGGTTTATTTGGATAACCTCAATCATGGTCATCCATTAAACTGTCTTCCAGCGAGTTGGTGGTCACCTCCTCGCTCTTTGGATTTGACTCCTCCGGATAGCCTGAAGTGGCTATTAATGCAGTGAGTACTGTAGATGGCACTGCGGTGTCCTTATCAGGCATAGGAATAGCAATATTTTTAATAGACACATTCCCAATTCTGGAGAGCATTGCTGTTCTGTCTTCTGGCGGGTGAGTGATTTCCTCCTCGCTTTTAGGATTTGACTCCTCAACATTGCTAGTACTTGCTAATGATGCTTTGGGTACTGTCTTAGGTGTTTTAGTGTCCTTGTCGGGGCCGGTTTTGACAGCCCTTTCAATCGGCGCCTTCCCAATTTTGGAAAGGGCAACTACACTTTCTTCTGGCGAGTTAATGGTAAATTCCTCGATTTTAGGATTTGACTCCTCAACGTTATCAGTAGTGGATACTGATGCTGTGGTCTTAGGTTTTTTAGTGTCCTTTTCGAGGCTTGTTGTAACAGCCCTTCCAATCGGCACCTTCCCAATTTTGAATATGACAGATTTAGAGGCGAAGTAAGCCCTACCTTTATTCTTGGCAAGACTAGCCATGGATTTCTGGTCGATACCTATTACAAATAAAGTTCCCTCAGGTTCTTCTTTCCTGTAAAAGACATCCCATTTTTCCACGGCCAGCTCAGCATTTTGACCTCCAAGAATTTCCAGTATACGTTCATTAGCCAGTTTACTGCCCCATCCTTTTATGTAGACAGTGGACTTTAGGAGCACCGGAAGCTCGCTCTTCTTTGCCAGTCCCAGCCTAGCGCCGTCCCAGGGAGGAGGGATACTTTCCACCAAGTTCTTTAGGGTGCTAACACATTGGTGAGATGCCAACCTCATCAACATCACGCCCATGCTGAACTCGCAGCTCTCGCTCTCTATTGGTTGTTTGCCCTTTGAAGCGATTGCATGGTCCACTATCTTATTGTTGACCAGGTCTTCTATTTTACTCTGTTGGTCTATTGGAATTTTGCCTGTCGGATTACCGGCATCGTAAACTGCATAGCAGAGATCGTCCCGGTGCCTACTTCTGGCAACTTTGGCGTAAGATGGCGGCTCTTTTCCTTTTCCTCCGTCTAGCTTCTCCTTCCTCGTTTTTCGGGGCTTCTTTTGAGATTCCCTTACCTTCGAGGTTGATTTCGCCGACGTGTTCGTCTTCGGAATATCTGGCTTGGCGTTGTCACCCTTACTCGCAGGATTCTCACTTGAGATTCCTTTGAGTGAAGTATGGCTTGGCTTCGACTGTGTATTAGAAGACGGGGAGCTCTTTTTCTTCTTAGGTTTATTCTCAGTTGTCAACTCCTCGGGAGACCTGATCCTTTTTGCCTCAGATCTTGTGAGAGAGTCCGATTTTTCCTTTGGAGTGTCGTGGGATTGACTAACTATGATTTCTTGAAGCATCTTTTTCAACTTCCTCCTCTGTGCTCCAGAAAGTCTTTTCTTAGTAATAGGTAGTTTAGCTATGCTATCACTCACCTCTTTCACCATTTGCTCTACTTCATCCTTTTTGGGATTTGCTATAATGGTATTATTTTTATTATCATCTGAGGATTCAGAGTCGGAACCCTCACCTATATTTAAAGGCTGAGGTAGCTTAGAGCTCTCTCCGAGTACATCCTTCTCTTTCACCCCTATATTTTTGCCAGCGGCATGCTGTACACTTGACGCATTGTCCGCCACGGAGGCCAAGGTACCCACCTCCGTAGTAGTATTCTGCTCACGATTGCAGGATGACGACGACACGTGACTCGCGAGTAGATCAACACTTGCCGCCGGTACTGGGTTATTTAGGCCCTGCACCGTAACTTTTATCTTTTTATTTTTATTTTCCATATTTGTTTTTTTTTTTTTTTTTTCCAGTTTTTTGGTCCGCGGGGAATATAATATTCCCAGGTGGTGGACAATCTGCCCTCCCTCAGCTTAAGTGAAATTAAAGCTGGGAGAGGACAGATGGTCCATCACCACCCCCTATCCGCCACCCGGGGACGCGCTCGGTAGGAAAAATCTGGAAAACTCCCCCGAGAAATTCCGTGTAAATACCCTTTGGAAAAAAACTACAAGCTAATGTAAACGAATACAAAAAACAACATGTTAGTGTGATTAGTCGAAATGAAAAATACCCTTCAATTATTACTATGAGTGCAATGAACTATGACCTACCTCTATGAATGTTATTTTAACGTAACATATTTATTAGGGGGTCTTTAGATGAACTTTAACATTAGTTCAAATAATATTTCGGCAGGATATTTCAGTAAAATTTCGGGCATCTAAATGGCACCGTTTATAAGCTATTTTACTTTCTAACGTCTTCCGATTTTTTATTTCACAATAACAAAAACTTCATTTACAAAAACTTCAATATGCTTAATTATATTCATATATATATTTTTCAAAAATTTGCTAACATGTTTAAGTTCTTGATTTTATTAAGGGGCGTCAAAGTCCGGTTCAACAAACTGTAAAAAAATTCCATAATTGAAAAATCCTGGTGATAAACTTCCTCAGAATTGAAAGAAAAAATAAGTTTCAACGAATGTCGATCTAGCTCTGTCCTATGATGAGATTTTTTAAAGTGATTAACAAGGAAATCCTATTCCGAACGTTTTTAAAATTTTACTTAGAGGACCCCTGACCATGCTTCTATTAAGACCTAATTCAAAACTTAAAATTGATAACAATTCGTTTCCTTTGTGAAATTTCATTCCTATCAGACTCAGTTACTGTGGTCCGTTCAATATAGTTTGAGATTGACGATCTACTATCAAACCTCTTCAAATCAATTGAGTACCAATGACAGAGGTGGTTTTTAAATAAACTCTTTTTAACTTCACAACAGCGGACTAAAACTTTGATAAAACGACTTCCTTAGAAGTTGCCAAGACGGAGAGAAAGCACAGGCTATAAGAAACTTGTTTAGTCACTGCCTGCAGCAAACTGATTTCGTTTGGAAGTGTACGAATACGCTGGCCATTTCCTTTTCGTATTATTATGATGATCTTTGTTACAAACAACATAATAAACTAAATATACAATTTCAATATTTGTAGCTTTAAGAAAATATATTTTTCTATGATAACAAAAATATACCCCCCATAAAGTGCATGTTTACAAAAAAAAATTACCACAAATTTATAAGAAAACAAAAAAACAGTAACGGCAAAAATTCCTTTGACTTGCAAACAAAAGCAATGTATGACGAGTGAGAACGTCTTGTCTGTGAAGTATGGCTTTTCAATATCCTACATTTCTACAAGATTTTAAGCAACATGGTTTTATAAGAAAGCAATCTGCTCCTAAATATGGACTGTTTCTATAGGGACACATTTAAAAAAAATAGGTATATGACCATTTTTGTAGAGACATTCAATTTAAAGTAATTTTCCTCTCCTATGGCCTACTTTGTTTTGATTTTCGCAAAATTATATTAATCTCAAGATGCAATAAATTTTAGCCAAAATCAAAAGGTTTTGTAGGTCTCTTATTAATGGGTGTTACAATTCTCTGCACAAATACATAAGAACCTCTTCTCTATAGTAGGGTATAACTATGAGTGACTTCTTCAAGGTTACCGCCACCAACACCACACCACCGGGACAAGCTAGGCCAACAAACAGTGAAAGAGCCACACACAGACGCACTCACTTTAAATGTTGCTTATCGATTTCTATGACAAAAAGCAAACCCATGGAAATAAAATGATGAAAAAACGTATTGTTGTGACAACAACAGAAAGAATACTATATAAATAAGCTAAAATTAAATTAATGTCTTCCGAGGTCTTTATGAATGAATGAAGATGAATTAATAACAAATTACTTAAATGAGATTTTATTGTTGAAAACGTAAAGACAGACTGATAAAAGATTAACATTTAATTAGAGCATGTGAATATTTTGACTTACCTCTAGATCCTAAAATAACAACTTTACCCTCAATGCCTCTCATATTGAGGAAGTGTTTTTCTATTTAATAGAATCTTGTAGAAATTGGACGTTACTGAAAGTTGGAAGTTTCTTCAACTTGTAGTTGCAGTCTTTGTTGTTATTCTGGTCAAATTTAATGTTCTATTTTTAGTTTCCAGCTATAATTTATTCATTTAATCTTATCTAATTATTGTTTTTCTAAACTGCGTTTTTGTTTGTTTTTATTAATTAATTAGGTTAACATAACTTTAAATTCACTTTCTATTCTCATACCATTTATAAACAAAATATCCATTCACCTTCATTCAGATTTGCCTAGAAATTTTCTTCTTTTGCGTTGCATTTTAATAATTTATACTTTTTTCCTTTAATCTAATTGATAGTTTTTGTAGAATAACACGAAAATCATTTCTTGTTTGCAACAATGAATTCTTTGTTGTCACAACAATGTTTTCTTTTAAAGTTGCTGTACTTTACACTATTAATTTTATTACTTATTTTTAGCAAATAAAAAGATTATCAAATAAAAAATATTCATTTTCCGAGGTTCTTTATATTGTTGTTGTAGTTTACTTAAAGTCATCAGCTGTTTTTTGTTTGTGTAGTTTTTTCATAGCAGGGTGCTTCATAAATGCTTATAAACACATAAACCATTAATACTGGGAGGATTGCCAGATTAGTTGTAAATAAGGTAGTGCCACGTGTCAGTAGTGAAACAACCGATACTATTTAAATTTTTTTTATGAAAATTCTAGTACAAGTTGAAGTGTTTTTCCAAATAAATATTTGAATTATTCGAATTCAAAGTGATCAACGTACGACGGACGGACGGACGGAGGACGGACGGACGGACGGACGGACGGACGGACGGACGGACGGACGGACGGACGGACGGACGGACGGACGGACGGACGAGGACGGACGGACGGACGGGACGGGAGGACGGACGGACGGACGGACGGACGGACGGACGGACGGACGGACGGACGACGGACGGACGGACGGACGGACGGACGGACGGACGGACGGACGGACGGACGGACGGACGGACGGACGGACGGACGGACGGACGGACGGACGGACGGACGGACGGACGGACGGACGGACGGACGGAGACGACGACGGACGGACGGACGGACGGACGGACGGACGGACGACGGACGGACGGACGGACGGAGACGGACGGACGGACGGACGGACGGACGGACGGACGGACGGACGGACGGACGGACGGACGGACGGAGACGGACGGACGACGGACGACGGACGGACGGACGGACGGACGGACGGACGGACGGACGGACGGACGGACGGACGTACTTACTTACTTACTTACTTACTTACTTACTTACTTACTTACTTACTTACTTACTTACTTACTTACTTACTTACTTACTTACTTACTTACTTACTTACTTACTTACTTACTTACTTACTTACTTACTTACTTACTTACTTACTTACTTACTTACTTACTTACTTACTTACTTACTTTACTTACTTACTTACTTACTTACTTACTTACTTACTTACTTACTTACTTACTTACTTACTTACTTACTTACATACATACATACATACTTACGTTTTTGTGGACTTGAAAAGATATAGATGTCAATTTTTCTTAGAAATGTAAATTTTGTGAAAAATTTGTTATAAATGAATATGAACAATACAAACAGTTTTGAAAAAAGTTCAATATGTTTGTGTAAATCTCCAATTTTTGTGCAAACAAACAGCAAGCATTTGTACAAACACGAAACACCCTCATACACAACACGCTTGCACAAACGTAAAATAGTGGTATGTTTGTCAAATATTGGTATGTTTGACTTACTTTTCTACTATATTTCTTCTATTTTAAATATCGATAACATTTTTGTTAATTTTAACATCTGTCATCTCTATCAACTAGCAAAACAGCTGTAACATCTCAAAGCTACAAAAACAAATAATCAAAAACAAACAAAAATATAAACAAATTTCATTAGAAATTCATTACAAAATGACGGCATCTTTGGAAATTTAAAACACTACTATTTATAAACAAATTATTAATATTTTGAAGGAAAAGCAATAAATTACTGCACACCAATTTTGAACTAAAGATTTTTAAAACAAATTAATTGATAAGATATAATTAAAACGAATATAAATGAGACAACAAACCAAAAGCAAGAAGTAAATGAGAAATCAAAAGAAAAAAAACAAAAATATTTAAACATATTGTTATTGTACAGCGCTATGAGCGGTACTTTCCCCTTGCCCTAAAATAAAATAGCAAGTCTAACGAAAAGCTAATAAAGCAAAAAAGATAAAAACAATACCTACGAAAAACAACACAGATATTTTTGGGAATACATTAACGTAGCTGCCGGCTGAAGACAGAGAGACGTATTGTAGTCGAATTTGTGGAATTGTAGATAAACGTTGCGTGAGTCATTTAAATGTGTATGAGGCGTTAAAAACATCTACTATTTGTTGTGGCTCTAGACGAATTTTTAAAGCATTCCATAACAGTCCGTGGTCAAGGAAAGTCGTTTTTTAAGTTAGAAAAGTAAAATATACAAAATCAATTCAAAATGTTCGATTTCAATTTAGAATTTGCTCGTGGTGGTGCTAAATTTACCGTAGAACTTTTCAAAAAGTTGTCGGCCGGTGGTGTTAAAGAAAATATTGTGTTCTCTCCATTTTCCATACAGACTTGTTTGGCTTTGGCCTTTGCCGGAGCCGAAGGAGAAACTGCCGATGAAATTGCCAATGCTATGAGATTTGTCTCCAACTTCCCCCCAGAAGTGGCCGAGACTTTCCAATTCGTGTTGGAAAAGTACAAGGACAGTGATCTTTTGAAAATCGCCAACAAAGTTTATGTACAAGAGGGTAAAAGCCTTAAGGCCGACTATGCTACCGCCACCAAAGAACAATATCATGCCGAGGCAGAGGAAATCAATTTCGGTGAATGTGAGGCTGCTGCTGAAGCTATTAATTCGTGGGTAGAAAATAAAACTAATGGCAAAATTACAAATCTTGTAACACCCGGCAACTTTAATGCTCTCACCCGTTTGGTGCTATTGAATGCTTTGCACTTTAAGGGTGATTGGGAAAAGAAATTCGATGAATCACATACCCAGGAAGATGACTTCTGGATTGCCGAAGAACAAGCGGTTAAAGTAAACTATATGAATCAAAAGGCCAAATTTGGTTATGGTTATTTTGAGGAATTGAATTGTCAAGCATTGGAAATGCCCTACAAAGATTCCGATTTAAGTATGTTTGTACTGTTGCCCAACGAACGTGAGGGTTTAAAAGATTTGGCTGAAAAACTACAAGATATTAATTTGGTCGATTTGGCCGATCAAATGAATACCGAAGAGGTGGTAGTAAAATTCCCTAAATTCAAGGTTGACTACAGTGTGGAATTGTGTAATGTTTTGAAAGAGGTAAGTTTGTGGATATGATTGTATAGTTTATTATTGATTAGTAATTATGTGGTGAAAGTAGTATTTAAGGTCATTATGATAAGAATTAGTGGGAGGTAGAAGTTTAGCTTTTTAAATGAGATTTTCTGGTTTCTAAATTTGATTAATTTCCTCTAAATAATTATACTCGGTAGGTATTATAATTACTGTAATGCGTTTGTGCTGATTTTTTTTATGGACAGAATTATAGTATTGGCGGAATAGTAGTGAAAATAGTTTACAAGATATGTTCCGTTTGCAAAATACAAACTTCAACTTTTTGACCCAAATATGTATCAAAGAATATTTTATAAATTTGTCTTGATATAAATGTATGTGTATTGAGACATCGGGTTGTTTCTTAAAAATCTACAAACGATATTCAGTCAGATTCTCTATCTGTAGTAAAAAATGTACATACATACATACATATGTATGTCAAATGGTTAGCGTTTTCTGACGTAGATATCTCAATTAATGGCAACTTTTACTTTCTTATATCATATTTAAAAAATACACCAAAAATGCAATAAATATTTATGTCATACATTAAATTTAACAAATTATTCAATTTGTACACGTATAAGATGCAATATCTAATCTAAAATATAAAAAATATGTACTAGGTATATTATAAAACTAAAAGAACTAAACAAATAGTACCACCAGATTAAAAAAAACTGATATAAACTTAACTAATCTAGAAAAATTGATAACTAATTTTATTATATGACCTGAATCATAATTTTACACAAAAAAAAAACAAAAAAACACTTTCGAAACTTTCGTTAAACAACAAATCAAAATTTACAAAATTCTCTTTTTTCGTTTACAGTTGGGTATTACTAAAGCTTTTGGAGGTGAAGCCAATTTTAGCAATATCTTAGAATCTCCAGAAGATCTTTATGTATCAAATGTTTTCCACAAAGCCTGTATTGAGGTTAATGAGGAGGGTTGTGAGGCTGCTGCTGCAACTAGTATGATTATGATGACCAGAATGATGATGATGCCTTTGCAATTCCAGGCCGATCGTCCTTTCTTGTATATGATTTGGAATAAGAAGAATATTTTGTTTGCTGGTGCCTTTGTTAATGCTCCCCAATAGAATGTGGGGGGTATATAATATAACATATTATGCATTTCCAGTAGTAGTCAGAACATGACAAGATTTTTTCAATGTAGTATTATATTATTCAGGAATATTCCTGTAAGACTATTTTTATAATGTTTTAAATTATTTAAAGTTTTTTTTAATTTTTTTACCTTATTACTGTTAATTTTTTAATAAAAAAACAAAATTTAAAATTTATTTCATAATTTATTATGATTACAATTATTACTAAGTTTCTTCTTAAAGTCATTAATAAGGGTTTTTAAAGTCATATTGTGTGCGCGAGGTGTTCTATTATTTTTAGGTTAAAAAGGGTTATGCACCATAAAAAGGTGCAACTCTACTCGGAGACCATAAGATCCATTTTGCTTTCCTTCTATCCAAAGATAGAGAAACAAAACATTAGAAATACCAAGAGAACATAAATAAGGAGGAGAGTGGAATGGAACCAGGTCAATTCCTAAGGGATTTCAAATTTTTCCAAGTCGATTCCCTAAAGAAGAAAATGTAAGAAAATCTGAGTCTCCATATAAAACCCCGACGAGGACATGATTAATTCCTTTGATAAAACCTAGTTGATTGCAAGGGTTAAGTCCCGCTATTACCCCAGTTCGTTATGGAACCTATTTCCCAGCCATTTCAACCTGAGATGTATTCAGGGAAAGTGACATATTATATGCTAGATCGTCACTGCATCTTCACATATTCTGTCCGGTATATTACTGCTCCACTTAATGACAACGTCCATTATTGAGCAATGTCCCATTAGAATCCCTGTCAGAATCCTTCTGGTTAGATAAATAGATAGATAGATAGATAGATAGATAGATAGATAGATAGATAGATAGATAGATAGATAGATAGATAGATAGATAGATAGATAGATAGATAGGTAGATAGATAGATAGATAGATAGATAGATAGATAGATAGATAGATAGATAGATAGATAGATAGATAGATAGATAGATAGATAGATAGATAGATAGATAGATAAATAGATAGATAGATAGATAGATAGATAGATAGATAGATAGATAGATAGATAGATAGATAGATACATAGGTAAATCGATAGATACATAGATAGATAGATAGATAGATAGATAGATAGATAGATAGATAGATAGATAGATAGATAGATAGATAGATAGATAGATAGATAGATAGATAGATAGATAGATAGATAGATAGATAGATAGATAGATAGATAGATAGATAGATAGATAGATAGATAGATAGATAGATAGATAGATAGATAGATAGATAGATAGATAGATAGATAAGATAGATAGATAGATAGATAGATAGATAGATAGATAGATAGATAGATAGATAGATAGATAGATAGATAGATAGATAGATAGATAGATAGATAGATAGATAGATGGATAGATACATAGATAAATCGATAGATACGTAGATAGATAAATAGATAGATAGATAGATAGATAGATAGATAGATAGATAGATAGATAGATAGATAGATAGATAGATAGATAGATAGATAGATAGATAGATAGATAGATAGATAGATAGATACATAGATAAATAGATAGATAGATAGATAGATAGATACATCCCAGCAAAAAAAGTGTGGAAAAAGATGTAGAATTTTCATCACAACTAGTAACCCGAAGTGCTTCAAATTCGGGTGTAAAACCTATGAATTTTACATTAGCGTGTCATTGGAGGGATGTTGTTCATTTTTGGCAGCTTTGAACTACATCTGATCTTATTTTTAGAAGCAGTAAAAATCCGATATTTGGCTGTCAAAAATAAAACACATTCTCTTAATGACACGCTTATGTAAATTTCACTACTCTTTCACCAAATCTTGATGTAGTTCAAATATGTTATTTGTAATGACTTTTCCACATCTCTTTCCTCACTTTTAACTGGGGTTTCATTTGTAAGGAAATATTTGGTTTATAAAAGTGAAAAATATGAAATCGCATTTTAAGATGTGATTAAGATGTGGTTTGTAAAGTATGACATCAATTATTTTTTGCTGGGTATTTACTGGGAAAGTAAATGAACAGACCTAATGTCAGTCTACAGTCTGCTTATATCGATATTAAGAAATTTTCGTAAAATCTTACTCCCTTATCGTTGATTCTAATTTAATTTCAGATGGGCATTAGAAGGGCTTTAAAAAATGGCAATTTTCATAAAATGTTCGTGGAATCAGAAGAGTTAAATATTTCAAAAATTCTGCATAAGGCCAATATTGAAGTAAATGAAGTGGGTTCTGAGGCAGCAGCCGCCACAAAATTAAGAGTACGAAAGATTAAAGGTGACAAGCCTAATTTCAAATGCATTAAGGCGGAACATCCATTCTTTTATATGATTTGGAATAAGAAAAATATTATAATTGCTGGCACATTTATAAAATCTACATAAATTTCTATTATTTTTTTAAGAATAGATTGTGAATCTCGAAAAATTAAATTGTAGTAAAACAAATATGTAATATTTCAATAAAATTTTACTATAGAAACTGAACGTAAGTAAAAAGTACATTTTAAATTTCGATCGGAAAGTTATTAGGGGTTTCTAAGTTTAATAAGTACTATTAAAACCAAGAAATAAGTGAAATTAAAAAATTATTAACATATTATTCTCAATTGTGTTTTTGTCTTTAATTTTATTTCAGATGGGCATTAAAAAGGCCTTTGGCAAAGGAGAATTTAATAATATGTTAGAGGAACCGGTAGAGCTAAATATTTCAAATATTATGCATAAGGCCATTATTGAAGTAAATGAAGTGGGCACTGAGGCAGCAGCGGCAACAAAATTGACAATTCAAAAGCGTTGCATGCCAAGATACAAATGTATTAGGGCAGATCATCCATTCTTTTATATGATTTGGAATAAGAAAAATATTTTATTTGCTGGAGTTTTTGTAAAATCTACATAGTTTTTTTTTTGTAAAAAATTTAATCTCGAAAATTTAAAAAAGTGGTAAATATTTAATTGTGTAGAAATAATTCTTAAATAAAATTTAATATGTATAAACATTTAAAAAATATTTATTAATATTTTGTTGTTTTCGATATCTCCATTATTATTATTTTTGTTGTCTTTGTGGTCTAAACATAAATCCCCTTACCAAATCTTATCGTCTTTCAAAAAAAAAACTTATTTGCCATATTTGGGTCGTTAAAATTGAGAAATTCTGAGACTAGATTAGGATTTAGAGCAGCGCAATCCTTTAGTTTTATGTTAGCCTTCGGTATATCTTTCGTAAGCATCGGTCCATAACTGTACACTTACCTAGTGTAGGGTTTGATACTTATTTGATTGTGCTTTCGAAATGATTTTGCGCATGTCTGCAAAAGCTACAGGTATTTATGTATACCTATAAATTGAATACATATTTCGAGCATTTAATTGAAAAAATTTTCGTGTTAGTACTCGTTTTGTTCTCATTGTACAATATCCAGTCAGTTTTGTATCGGTGTGTTATCAAATTTTCTTATTGAGATTGTTTGTTTACTGGTTGTGCGTCATAACTCCATTTAAAAATTTACTTGAAAAAGCTAACGAGACTGTTCAACGAGTTTACGAAGTGATCATACATACATGCAATTTGGAATTACTCATGATAACTAAAATACATACATACAAATATATATAATTCGCTATTACGTTTTTTCGAATATATTCGATAAGTGTGAACGTTGATCAGTCCATAATTGACCATATAGCAGTTGTATAAGGTTCATATAGCGACAAATTTCAATACGAATATGTTTTGTATATATACAAATTATTTGGCTAATTTTTTCGCGGATTGAACGATAACTGGTCATACCTCCCATTCAAGGTCCTCTTCAAAAACTCACTTAATCGTAAATAAATAGTGTATTATTCGTAATATCGGGATAAAATGTTTTCAAAATCGGCCCATAATTGATCATAGATCCCATCTAAGTCCTCTTTTAAAAATTATTTAATAGAAAATAACTTATTACCGAATAATGTTCTGAATATATGTATACTAATTATATTGCGATTTTTTTCGGATCGGAGCATAATTGGTCATAGCACCCGTTACAAAGTCCACTTCCAAAAATTACAATAGCATTCATTTGTTGTCCAATTTCGAAAATCATTTAAACGTTAACACTGATATCGGGATAAAATTCAACTCGAATATATTTTGTATAATCTAACGCCTAATTTAATATTCCCACCAGATTCTGATTGCTAACCAGTCTGCACGATTATACAAAGGAACTGATTATATCATATTGTGCCCAGAAATAACAGAAGTGCATGGATTCAAGATCTGAAAAATTTAGTCATTATTGAAAAGATTATTACATGCAAAGCATAATACTACAATGTCTAAGAAGAATTCTGTTGAATCGTCTACTAAGGAATCCGTTGAATTGTAAGTCCCTTAAAATTACGTAGATAGTGTCATAAGATATATATTTTCAAAAATGTCTTTATTCTCGATCTGATAGTATTGATAAGTTTCAGATGATAAACATATTTATCTTTGCTATATTTTCGGGGATATGACATTTTTTCACAATATGTAATATGTACATTAGACCGACTCAACAAAATCGTTTTTATTAACCCTTTGCACTGCATGAGATGATGGTAAGTTATATTGAGTACGGCTTGAAGATAAGGGACTATACTCTTGTCGAGTTTTTGGATATAGAGTGAGCTTTTATAATATTGTAAAGAGCTTGTACAGCTCGTGGTTAACGACATTCTAAAGCTGAAAGATCGTGGATAAATCACTGTTCGTTAATCCTGGGAAAATAGAACTGGTACTATTTACCAGACGGTATAAGGTAGACAATATTAGGCTGCCAATGTTGGATCGCGTCGAACTAAGTTTATTTGGAGGATCTAAGTATTTAGTGACGTTCGTTGATAGTAAGCTATCATGGGAACCAGATATTGGATTTACATATTGGTTGTTAGGCCTATTCTACCTAATGGTTGTTTTGTCTCGTGGGAGGCCTTGAGGACTGTTATGGAAAGATGCTCAAAGATTTGCTTCTCTTGGCATTATTGGTGCCATTAGTAGTACTCCACAAGCGGTCCTGAACATCACCTGTCATCTATATAACATTTTGTAGTGAGTGTGGCGGCTAGAAATCTACTAAGTGTCCGTTAGTCAAACTTTCGCACGACAATCACGCAAAAATTCTGTACAAAGTAGATCTACTTGATCATAGTAACTCCACTTATGGAACTCTAATATAGCAGACTATTGCAGGATATGCAAAGGCGCAAAGGAACTAGAGACGATTGAGCACATAATTTTCCACTGTCCTCGAATACAGAATGTCAGATTGAAAAAGCTGAGAAATAGGTTCCTTTACGAACTGGCGGCACTCAGCCCTCGCAGTCTACTATGTTTTATTAGGGGAATTAGTCATTTCATCAACTGGGTTTTATTCACAAACAATTCGAGTCGATTCGGTAAAACTTCCACTTATGTTCTTTTGGTTTTCTTCTAGTGTTTTGCTTTTCTATCTTTGAAACTTCACATTCTTCGAAGGGAATTACAATGGACCCCATGGACTCCGAGTGGAATGTACCCAATTTTTCAATGAATATCCAACTGAACTAAAGATAGAACTGAACTAATATATGTCTACTCCATAGATTAGTTTTAGATTAGATTAGTAAACTAGTGAATAGATATGTACATAAAAGCCGAAACGTGAATTAACCCCTTTAATCCTTATATATGTATATATCAAAATAAATGAGTCGATCTAACGTACATATGTACATATTTTAATTTTACATATTTAATCTAATTTTTAGCCATCCTAATGAAGAGATCGAAGAAACAATACCCATCGATAATGAACACTTCAACTATTTGAAAATACTTCCTGTGGAAATTCTCCATAAAATATTTAATTTGTGTGAACTGCGCGATCAACTAATATTGGCAAAAGTTTCGAAGCAATGTCGAGAAGTTATTGCAGCAATTTACAAAACAAAGTATAAATTTATGAACTGTAACTATTTAAAAAATTATTGTAAATTAAAGGACCAGCAACTAATCGAGTTATTTAGACTATGTGGAGATTTTGTGGAATGTTTACACTTGGTAACGCATTTTTCTTCGCGTTTCTGTGGCGAAAGTCCCGAGATTTATGAGAAATATTTACATTTTCACAAATTGTTTACACATTGTATTCAGTACTTTAAGAATCTACGTGTATTAAAAATTTACGGAAACGCATTTCCAGATTCAACAATATTGGAATTAGCTAAACATTGCATGAAATTGAAATCTATAAGTTTTACAACAATTGAAAATAATATGTTCCAAGGCAAACATCTACACCAATTAGAAGCTATAGAAAATTTAAATTTAAAATATTGTCATCGTTTAGATACTAACAATCTGTTGGCAGTAAGTCAAAAACGACATTTGAAATCGTTAAATTTATTGGGTTGTTATCAATTTTACGCAATACCCCCAATTTTAGAATTGTGTAATCATTGGCATTATTTGGAGACTTTAGTTTTATTTGCTAACACAAGCGACAAGCAATTTCTTAAAGCCATTATCGATTTACCCTCGTTAAAATCTCTACAATTTAACTGGGTCGATATAGGTCCAGCAATGGCAGTGTTGAATTTTGAAGAAAACCTTTTCTTAACACTTTCTGAGCATCAATACAAATCGGAAAAACTGAAATACATAAAATTTACAAATGAACAATTTTATTTGCATGGCATGATCGAAAAATCATCGCAAAAAGAATATGCAATAATGAAAGAAAGTTTACATGCCAGACTACCGTTTAGGCACTGGTCCATGGAAAAATTCGACTTGATTTCTTTGGCTTTTAAAAGTTTTAAAAATTTACATACAATTAACTTCCATTATTGGCGACCTTTGACTAATGAACAGTTAATTAATTTTGTGAAAATAAATTCCAACCTACAATTTATCAAAATTGAAGGTTGTCCTGAAGCTGGAGACAATGACTTTAAAAACCAATGGATGAATCCGAAATGTCAATTACAATTGCAAAGTATTCTGACGCTGGATGAAGTAAAGGTTTGAAAAATTTAATTTTATTAGTTTTTTATACATACATATGTAGATATTAATCAATATTTTTAACGGTTAATTACAGAAAATATATGATGATGTTGTAAAACGTACCGACAACGCCAGAAGAGAACGAAGCATTTGTTGTCAGTTTGAATAGCTGCTTAAAAAGGATGTTTAGAACAGTTAACACAGGCCAACAAATGTTTAATCCAGAGATCAATGTATATATTTGAGACGATATAGCAGTGCAGAGACATAATCAGTTATTTTATTTGAAAGTACGTTCTGTCAACTCTAAAATAAAGTGTTAACCTCTGTTAAGTCTTATTCCTTTTTCAAGATATTTTAACCTAAAGCTTAAAACATTAAAATATGTACAAAGTCTGAATTTATTACAATTTAAATTAATTAAAAAACTCTCTTGTATTTGCTGAGATATCGCCGTTTTTTTTTTTTTTTGTCATAAAATAAAGTCAATTTCGATTTTTTTATTTAAAGGTGGTAAATTTGGATTTCGATATATCGAAAAAATAAAAAGATATAACAGAAATTGAAACTTTATTTTAAAGTCAACAGTTTAGACTTCTTTTAATTTTAAGACACAATAACTCAAAAACCTGATACGATGGATTCAGTGCATTCTTTAGAAATCGACAGCTTGGCCTCAGGGTTTCGAATTTTTTCAAATTTTTCTGTGCTATTTTGTATATTGTTAAATGTCATAATCCTATATAGAAGTGTTATGAAACTTTAGTTACCAATGAGCGATGTGTTATGTGTATGTATATTAACCGTATTGTATATTTGTTATATCGAATAAAAATTTCGTGAAATTGAGCTGAATTTTTATTAAGCACTCATTTTTTAACGCAACTGGTAACATCCACAATTTTGTTCGATATCATTATCCATTAAATAGTCTAGTCTATAGTCTAGTCTATAGTCTAGTCTATAGTCTAGTCTATAGTCTAGTCTATAGTCTGGTCTATAGTCTAGTCTATAGTCTAGTCTATAGTCTGGTCTATAGTCTAGTCTATAGTCTAGTCTATAGTCTAGTCTATAGTCTAGTCTATAGTCTAGTCTATAGTCTAGTCTATAGTCTAGTCTATAGTCTAGTCTATAGTCTAGTCTATAGTCTAGTCTATAGTCTAGTCTAGTCTAGTCTATAGTCTAGTCTAGTCTAGTCTATAGTCTAGTCTAGTCTAGTCTAGTCTAGTCTAGTCTAGTCTAGTCTAGTCTAGTCTAGTCTATAGTCTGTCTAGTCTATGTCTAGTCTAGCTAGTTCTAGTCTAGCCTAGTCTTAGTCTAGTCTTAGTCTAGTCTAGTCTAGTCTAGTTAGTCTAGTGTACTAGTCTAGTCTAGCTATAGTCTAGTCTAGATTATAGTCTAGTCTATAGTATAGTCTAGTCTCTGCTTATAGTCTTAGTCTATAGTCTAGTCTATAGTCTAGTCTATAGTCTAGTCTATAGTCTAGTCTATGTCTAAGTATAGTCTAGTCTATAGTCTTCGTCTATAGCTGAGTCTATAGTCTAGTCTATAGTCTAGTCTATAGTCTGTCTATTGTCTAGTCTATGTCTAGTCTAGTCTAGTCTATAGTCTGTCTATAGTCTAGTCTATGTCTAGTCTTAGTCTAGTCTATAGTCTAGTCTATAGTCTAGTCTATAGTCTACTAGTCTATAGTCTAGTCTATAGTCTAGTCTATATCTAGTCTATAGTCTAGTCTATAGTCTAGTCTATAGTCCTAGTCTATAGTCTAGTCTATAGTCTAGTCTATAGTCTAGTCTATAGTCTAGTCTATAGTCCTAGTCTATATCTAGTCTATAGTCTAGTCTATAGTCTAGTCTATAGTCTAGTCTATAGTCTAGTCTAGTCTAGTCTATAGTCCTATGTCTATAGTCTAGTCTTAGTCTAGTCTATAGTCTAGTCTATAGTCTAGTCTATAGTCTAGTCTATAGTCTAGTCTATAGTCTAGTCTATAGTCTAGTCTATAGTCTAGTCTATAGTCTAGTCTATAGTCTAGGCTATAGTCCTAGTCTATAGTCTAGTCTATAGTCTAGTCTATAGTCTAGTCTATAGGCTAGTCTAGAGTCTAGTCTATAGTCTAGTCTATAGTCTAGTCTATAGGCTAGTCTATAGTCTAGTCTATTAGTCTAGTCTATAGTTTAGTCTATAGTCTAGTCTATAGTCTAGTCTATAGTCCGAGGTCTATAGTCTAGTCTATAGTCTAGTCTATAGTCTAGTCTATAGTCTAGTCTATAAAGTCTAGTCTATAGTCTAGTCTATAGTCTATTCTATAGGCTAGTCTATAGTCTAGTCTATAGTCAGTCTATAGTCTAGTCTATAGTCTAGTCTATAGGCTAGTCTAGAGTCTAGTCTATAGTCTAGTCTATAGTCTAGTCTATAGTCTAGTCTATAGTCTAGTCTATAGGCTAGTCTATAGTCTAGTCTATAGTCTAGTCTATAGTTTAGTCTATAGTCTAGTCTATAGTCTAGTCTATAGTCTAGTCTATAGTCTAGTCTATAGTCTAGTCTATAGTCTAGTCTATAGTCTAGTCTATAGTCTAGTCAATAGTCTAGTCTATAGTCTAGTCTATAGTCTAGTCTATAGTTTAATCTATTGTCTAGTCTAATCTATAGTCTAGTCTATTGTCTATAGTCCAGTCCATCATAGCCTAGTTATCTCATATTTTTAAAAATACATATCGCTGAATTGTTTAAATAATCGCTGAAATATATATGAAAATTGCTCGAATAGCATCACTAAATCTACCAGCTGTGTTTTTAATTATACAGCTGTTTCAGTAGACTTTTTTCGCCGTACTTAACCGGAACAATCGTAATTGCAATTAAAATATTTACACAAATTTAATTAAGTTATTTTTATAAATCATTTTTTAACAATTTAAACATTTTGCTAAAGAATTATTTATTGTTGTGAAAAAAATGCAAGGTTTATTTAAATTTCTTAAGAGTCGTCCAGTGTTTTGGTTAAGTGTTACCGGCACAACAGTGGGTGTAGCATGTTTTGTTAAGTAAGTACCACTTTAAAATCAATTATGAAGAAAAATTTTAACATTTCTATATTGCAGAGACTTAATGCAAGGTGGTAAATTTACCAAGAAAACCAAGGCTGAGGGGAAAGTTGTAATTGTAACCGGTTCAAATACCGGCATTGGCAAAGAAACTGTAAGGGAGTTGGCCAAGAGGGGAGCCAAAGTCTATATGGCCTGTAGGGATATGAATAAATGCGAAGAGGTTTGTTAAGAGTGCAGAAGAATAATTAAAAAAAAACATATTAATTATAAGTCATTTCAAAGGCCCGCGAAGAAATCGTTTTAGAAAGTCGCAACAAGTATGTCTATTGTCGGGAATGTGATTTGGCCTCTATGGAATCGATACGTAAATTTGCTGAGAAGTAAGTTGTAGAAAATACTTATTATGTTGGTTTCCGTACTGGTCAGATTTAAAAGTTTTATAGGAAATCGTTACCATGTTCGAAATTTTAATAGGTTTTGTTGTTTTTCGGTTAATTCTGACTAAAACTGCTAAACTGTCGAGCACGGAAACATATGCGTATATTATTATGAATATTTTTTTTAGCTTTAAGAAGGAACAGGACCGTTTAGATATTTTAATTAATAACGCTGGCGTTATGCGTTGTCCTCGTTCTTTGACTAAAGACGGCTTCGAAATGCAATTGGGTGTCAATCATATGGGTCACTTTTTGCTTACAAATCTTTTATTGGATTTACTTAAAGTAGGTATCAATAATGATAGATATTGTATAAAACTTAATAATTGCAAAAACCAATTTTATATTTAGAAATCTTCTCCTAGTCGCATAGTTGTATTATCCAGTTTGGCTCATACTCGTGGCGAAATAAATATTGGTGATTTGAATAGTGAAAAATCCTATGATGAGGGAAAGGCTTACAATCAAAGTAAATTGGCAAATGTATTGTTTACACGAGAACTAGCCAAGAGATTAGAAGGTAAGATAGTATTTATGATTTTGGAACTTGGATTGTTAGAAAAATAAAATAAAAACAAAAATATATTCAAAACTCTCGATCTTAGGGAATCAAATAATTGTCTTAATTCATTAGAATTTTTATATTTTCTAAAATACGTCTCTATGACCACACCTAAATAACTTAATCAACATCAAAAGTCGAAATTTATTAAATTTTTTTCCAATTTCAGGCACTGGTGTTACTGTAAATGCTCTACATCCTGGTGTTGTTGATACTGAACTTTTCCGTCACATGGGCTTCTTTAATTCATTCTTTGCCAGCCTTATATTTAAACCTTTGGCATGGCCATTCCTTAAGTCTCCACAAAATGGAGCACAAACCACATTGTATGCTGCCTTAGATGAAGATTTGGCTAATGTTAGTGGTCAATATTTTAGTGATTGTGAAATTAAGGATGTTGCACCACAAGCAAAAGACGAAACTTTAGCAAAATGGCTGTGGGCTGTAAGTGAGAAATGGACCAAGTTGGCTAGTTAAACAAAAACGAATTATTATTTGAGTTTTTGTTTTAATAAAGTGAATGACTGGCATTTTTTAAAAGTATAGAAAATATTTTAATTTAAAAAAAAAAACTTAAATTAAAGCTTTTTATGCCCTACACCACTGTAGATTGGAGGGTATTATGCGTTTGTGCTGATGTTTGTAACACCCAAACATATTGGTGCTACATCCAAGTGAAAGTATGTATACCAATCGGCTCAGAATCACTTTCTAAGTCTATTTAGCTATGTCAGAATCAGGTTTGTCTTTACTTAGTTACTTACTTTCTTACTTACTTACTTACTTACTTACTTACACTTACTTACTTACTTACTTACTTACTTACTTACTTACTTACTTACTTACTTACTTACTTACTTACTTACTTACTTACTTACTTACTTACTTACTTACTTACTTACTTACTTACTTACTTACTTACTTACTTACTTACTTACTTACTTACTTACTTACTTACTTACTTACTTACTTACTTACTTACTTACTTACTTACTTACTTACTTACTTACTTACTTACTTACTTACTTACTTACTTACTTACTTACTTACTTACTTACTTACTTACTTACTTACTTACTTACTTACTTACTTACTTACTTACTTACTTACTTACTTACTTACTTACTTACTTACTTACTTACTTACTTACTTACTTACTTACTTACTTACTTACTTACTTACTTACTTACTTACTTACTTACTTACTTACTTACTTACTTACTTACTTACTTACTTACTTACTTACTTACTTACTTACTTACTTACTTACTTACTTACTTACTTACTTACTTACTTACTTACTTACTTACTTACTTACTTACTTACTTACTTACTTACTTACTTACTTACTTACTTACTTACTTACTTACTTACTTACTTACTTACTTACTTACTTACTTACTTACTTACTTACTTACTTACTTACTTACTTACTTACTTACTTACTTACTTACTTACTTACTTACTTACTTACTTACTTACTTACTTACTTACTTACTTACTTACTTACTTACTTACTTACTTACTTACTTACTACTTACTTACTTACTTACTTACTTACTTACTTACTTACTTACTTACTTACTTACTTACTTACTTACTTACTTACTTACTTACTTACTTACTTACTTACTTACTTACTTACTTACTTACTTACTTACTTACTTACTTACTTACTTACTTACTTACTTACTTACTTACTTACTTACTTACTTACTTACTTACTTACTTACTTACTTACTTACTTACTTACTTACTTACTTACTTACTTACTTACTTACTTACTTACTTACTTACTTACTTACTTACTTACTTACTTACTTACTTACTTACTTACTTACTTACTTACTTACTTACTTACTTACTTTACTTACTTACTTACTTACTTACTTACTTACTTACTTACTTACGTACTTACTTACTTACTTACTTACTTACTTACTTACTTACTTACTTACTTACTTACTTACTTACTTACTTACTACTTACTTACTTACTTACTTACTTACTTACTTACTTACTTACTTACGTACTTACTTACTTACTTACTTACTTACTTACTTACTTACTTACTTACTTTTTACATATTGTCCTAATTATTGTTTTTTCACTTATTTACTTTCCAGTGTTGTTGTTTTAAACTAACGGTGTTTTCATCTTTCTTTTATGTTGTCAATTGTTGCATGAAATACAACTCTGAGTTTTCATTAATTTTAATACAAAACTAGGTTGAATTTATTTTGGATAATGTCAGCTCTTTTCCTTTGTAATATTTATCTTGCTTAGATATTTAAACTGTCACATTCACTTGTGTTTGTGCACGTACAATATACAACAACTGATTAACTTTGACATACTAAATACATGACAAACAGCAAATTTCCATTTGTTTTCAAAACATCAAACTACTGCTGCCATCTGGTATGAATTTTTCTTAGTAAAATGCATTTCATATAGTAAAGAAATACCAGAACATAACGGAATTAGAAAATAATAATTTATGACAATACTCGACGGCATGAATTCGCCGTAAAATCAGTTGTTGCGCGACGTTTCCTATTGAAGGTTCGTTTCGTGGCTTTTCTCTTTAAACTTTTTTGGGTTGTTGCTAGAAAAAAAAAAAACACAAGAAATATAAAATTTTTATACAAAAGTATTCACTTAAATAAATAACAGTGTTCAAAATAATAGAAATTAGAAAAAAAGGAAATTTCCACAAAGTGTTAACGCTTAAAAATAAAAGTGCAAAAAGAAGAAATCGTTGCTTTTTTACCACGTCTCAAATTTCTTTTTGTCTTTTATATTTTATAAATTTTTCTACATTTGTGTGTTAACAACACCTTTCTATTAGTAAGCAACTAAAGTAAAAAACCACGACAACAACAACAATAATAACAACAGCAGCTCGGCAAAAGCAATAGCAGCAAATTATTAAAACGACGTAGTTGTTGTAGTTTATTTCAAAGTCTTCGAATTGTATTTAAATAAAACAAAAGCAAAATTAAAAAAAAAAAATAAAGTGGCCTTATGAATAATTAAGTAAAAAATAGTTAAAGTTTAATACGAAACTTAGTGTGAAAGTAACCAAAAAAAAGTTGAAATTTTTTTATACAAAAAATTTATTACAAAACAAAAGCTTTTGCAAACGAAATTTTAAAATAAAAACATCCTGTACACGAGGATCTGTATCGTGTTGTTGTTTAAACGAATAGGTAATTTGTTGCTAAATAAAAGAAAATCTTTGTAAAAAAAAGTTCCACCTCTAAGTGCTCTTATTATATAAAAATTAAAAATAATTAATATAAAAGCAACAAAATCTACTATCATTTGTTGTTATTTTTACCCCCCTCTCACTACAAAACATACATATCATCATCGCTACTTGGTCAACCTTCGCTGCTGAGACATACGCGAATACCAGGTAAAGTCTGTTAGTAAGCTAAACTGTTTTTTTGGTTAAAAGTCGCAAAATAAAAAACAAATTTAAAGAAAACAGCCAAAAATAAAAAACGCGTTCTTTGCAGTTTCATTAAACCCAAAAGAAGAGCAACTGAGAAAAAAAACACGAATATTTTTTTTTATTGTTTAATTATCATAACCTATTTTTTGTTTGAATTTTTATCATCTTATCTATAATAATTGTTTTAGTTTTTTTTTAAGCACACACACACTTTTTTAGCTTTTTTTAGTTTTGCAAAAATATTTTTTACGATTATTTTCAATTATTTTTATTCTATCTTATTATTCATTCTTTACACATTCAGTCTTCTTAGTTTTGTGTCTTTGTTGTTGTTGTTCTTTTTAGCATGTGTGTTGTTTACATACATACTAACATGCACTCAGCATTTGAAGAAGAATAAAAGATAGAGATAAACTTCTTACTCTCCGGCCGCATTCTGCTTATACTTTGTTGTTTGTTCTTATTTGTATACTGTGACAGGTTTTTATTACATGTTTGTTTACATTCTTCTTATTTAAGCGATTTTACACGGTGGTTTTTTGTTATGATTGCGTTAAAAAAAAAACGTTGATCTTTATTAAAATGGAATAGATTTCCTTTTCTGGTGCAAAATATCGTTTATCATCAATCGGCACATTAAGGTTTCATACAATTGTCTCCCTGAAACTAAAATTTAGAGTCCAGAAATGTGGAGAATTGTATCCATAACAAGACTCATCACAATTGCTCCATAAAAGTTCTCACATAAGGACCACGAAAATGACATATAAAGCGATTAAAAATGGCGGTAATGAGATAGTTTAGGGAAGCTCGCAATTTACTACATTCCTTTAAAATCTGATCATAGTTTCACCTAGGTTGCATACAAATGTCTTCCTGAAACTAAACTTTAGAGGGCAGAAATATGGAAAATTGTATACAGAACTAGACTCATTACAATTGGTCCATAAAAGTTCTTACACAAGGCCCACGAAAATAACTTATAAAACGATTATAAATGGCGGTAATGAGATAGTTTAGGGAAGCTCGAAATTTACCACATTCCTTTAAAATATGTTCATAGTTTCACCTAGGTTCCATACAAATGTCTCCCTGAAACTAAACTTTAGAGGCCAGAAATGTGGAGAATTGTATCCATAACTAGACTCATCACAATCGTCCCATAAAAGTTTTCACATAAGGACCACGATAACTTATAAAACGATTATAAATAGCGGTAATAAGATAGTTTAGGGAAGCTTGCAATTTAGCACATTCCTTTAAAATATGTTCATAGTTTCAGCTAGGTTCCATATAAATATCTCCATGAAACTAAACTTAAGAGGCCAGAAATATGTATAGGGAAGTAGAATCAATATATTTCATCATAATCGGTCTACATAAGGCCCACTAAAACACTTATAAAACGATTATAAATGTTGGTAATGAGATAGTTTAGGTTATATGGGAAGATATCAATTTAGCGAGAATACTGTAATTTTGATATCCTTAAATTGTTTCCTCTCTAACTTACGGACTCCAAGAGAACCTATCGATACTTCTAACGAATTTTGATTAGATATATTCATGCTACATCCTTCAGACAGTCTAGATCGTTGGTGGCCAAACACTACCCCGGGGTAGTTGTGTTATTCTCACTAATACATACGCAATACGAATACTGTGAGTAAAAACACAAAGTAAACACAAAACAAAAACAAGTTTATTCAGTTGCTTGTCTGCATTCAACAAAGAAGGTCTATGTCGCTTGATGTTATGATACACGGCGAATATTTTTCAGTAGCCGTTACAAATAAATGTTTATTTCAGGTTTTACTATATTATAAAAAACTAAATATGTGGAATATTGAGTGGGAGAAGGATTTTTTATTCTGTTTAAATATATTTACATACATACATGCATACATACATACATACATACATACATACATACATACATACATACATACATACATACATACATACATACATACATACATACATACATACATACATACATACATACATACATACATACATACATACATACATACATACATACATACATACATACATACATACATACATACATACATACATACATACATACATACATACATACATACATACATACATACATACATACATACATACATACATACATACATACATACATACATACATACATACATACATACATACATACATACATACATACATACATACATACATACATACATACATACATACATACATACATACATACATACATACATACATACATACATACATACATACATACATACATACATACATACATACATACATACATACATACATACATACATACATACATACATACATACATACATACATACATACATACATACATACATACATACATACATACATACATACATACATACATACATACATACATACATACATACATACATACATACATACATACATACATAATACATACATACATACATACATACATACATACATACATACATACATACAATACATACATACATACATACATACATCATACATACATACATACATACATACATACATACATACATATACATACATACATACATACATACATACATACTTACATGAACACATACATACATACATATATACATCAGTACGTACTTACATCAACAAATACATCATTACATACATAAACACATATGTACATCAATATACTAACACATACATACATAAATACATGAACGCATGCATCAGAAATTCAATAATACTTAAATCATCGGTTATTCATTAAAATACAAATAATTGTTTCAGTGCAAATCACACGTATTTTCATTTGTGTACTCTTTTATTTTTTCACTACAACATATGCGTTTTAAGCACCTCTCTCGCTGGCCACCACTGGTCTAGATTATAAAAGTGGCTTATACCAAGATATCTTCTGAAAAAGCCTTAAAGAATAATTTCTATCAATGAAAGAGAATTTTCCGAATTTTTAATATGGCTGCCTTTGTATTAGCCTATACTGTCTGTCCAACTTTCTAACTATGTGGATGCTTTCTGTTTCTATCTTACGAATGGCTCGGACGATATTAAATCGCAGTTCTGATACAACGTACTGATATTGTTAAGGCGGATGATAATACAATTATCGAATTAAGTGCGTAAAAGGTGGATTGTGGATTGGATCCAAGTTCATATCTTTCACTTTATCCCATAAAAAGCACCCAAATACGTTTATATCAGCACAGCTCCTTAATCTTTCCTTATAAATTCAGCCTCTATGGATGCATTGAATATCCATATCTGTGATTTGCGCGGACTTCAAATTCCGTTTCAATCTGTCGTCGGTTTTCCGAACCCCATGTTTGGTAATTTAGTTTGTTGATATAGCCGCCGAAATGATGAAGCCCTATCGGAAAATATGACTTTATGGCCAAATCATGTTTGCAAAATAATTTGTCAATAGCCAGTCTTAGGCAAGTCCATAGATTACTCTTGTAATTGTTAATAAACTAGTCCTAAGACTATACCGTCGATTAGTTCATAGACTAGTACGAAGAAGTCGGTCGACAAGTAAAGTCCAATACATAGTTCAAAGACTAGTATATAAACTATTCCTAGTTTAGTTCATAGAATAGACAGTCTACTAGTCCATAGAGTAGTCAATAAAATTGTAAATAGACCACTTAATAGACAAAAACATTGGCTACTGCATAGATTAGTCAATAGACTTTTTCTAAAATTTCATACCGTTATGACTTTTTACTAATTAATTTTTTTAATTATACTAATTACAAAAAAACATTATATTAATATTACAAAAATAGAAAAACATTCATACATCAGCGATAGCTGTCAAAATTAAACACAAAATTCTAAATAGAATATATATGTAATTCCAATATGACTACAACAAATATTTCTTTCTGACCACTCTGACATTTTTGTTTTGTTTTCTTTATTAATAAAAATATTTTTCGCTACCAATAAGTGTGTCACTCACTCATTTACCTGTCGGCGAACTGATTCATACATTTTCCTCGCGCGCACTTTTATTCACAGCTGCTGTTTCTTCTTCTTCTTCTTTTTAGTATTTTTGCTTGTGCTGCCACCGTTGCCAGCCGATTTGGCCGCAATGTTCACACGCAAAACACTAAAAACTGTTTCTTTTGTACCTTGTTCAAAAAGAATCTGAAAGAATTGTATAAAAGAAAAACCAAAAGAAATACTATACAGAGAGCCAGCCACCAGACATTATACTACATAGTACTTAACCAAGAAATCAAAATGTAAAGCAAAAAAAACTATCGGACAAAGACTTTGTTTATTTTATTTCTCCTTAACAAATTCTCTCAACACGATTTAACAAACATTTACAAACAAGATATTTATTTGTTGCAGAAAAAAAACTAGTAATAAAATAAAAATAATTTGCAAAAAGAAATACACAAAACTTTCACATTTTACCAAAAACAAATCTATAATACTCTCTTATATAAAGAGAGTGAGATAACTTTGTTGGTATTGCGATAGTGTTCGGTCAAGTTTGTTTTTGATGTACCCTAATAAGATGGGTATTGGGGACGTTTAGGATTAGGAGAATATACATATATACTAGAAGAATATATATACTATCCAGCCCGTTGTGCACTCCTTTAATATGGTGCTGTGGGATGTAATATCTGGAATAACATCGCTTCAAAGGTATTTGAACATAATTTTAACGAAAGCCTGACAATGGCAAATAGAGTGTTTCAGAATTTTACTATCCGTTCGTCCAATTTTGTTTAATATGTGTCCACTCATTGTATAATTATAGAATAATTTGGGAACTATAAAGTCTTCTGGAGCACTGGAGAATATCCACAAGTGGGTCGATTTTTCTTTCGCCCCTCTGTTAATCGTGTTCGATACCACAGACAGGAAAGCATGAATATCTTTTTTTGTGAAACAGATCCATTAACTGTGCATAAGTGGAATCCATATCAATTCGACAAAGTGTGGTATAAGCTGGGACAGAGGGCAAATGCAATTGAGAAGTCATTTTGACCATATCACGTTATAAGTGAGAGCTTTCATAGATTGGTTGTCATGTAGAGTTAAAGGGGCTCCGTTTTTACAGGACCACTCCACTCGTCAGATTTGGCATTGCATAGCATTGAATAGATCAACCCTGTAGCCTCAGGAGGTCTCTTAATTTCTATATATAGACGACCAAGTAAAATGACGCAATTTCGTCATTATATTTCATTTATGTGAAGAAGAGAAAGTCTAAAGGGTCCAAATCGTAGATCTGGGTTGGACAATCTATAGAATAAAGTGCGCAAACGATCCATGAGATGTGGCAGGGTGCACCATCCTATTGAAGCCTGAAGTTTTCGAATTTCACATCCACGTGCGTTTTGGACCCACCAACTACAGAGCCATTGATATTGTTGGTCGGTCTTAGCATACCATCTCTTACGCTTTAGGTTATCGTAATGTAATCGCTTTTCATCGCATATTCTCGGTTTTCAAACTTTTCTTGGCAGAATTAGGCGATCTTAGTCTTCCGTGTCTCTACTTGAGAACCTCACAAACCATCTCTCGCACATTGAAACTAATGGAATTCATTTGTCATAAGCTTCGTTGCCCCCCCGGGCATGTTATCCTTGATGATAGATCCCATCTTGGTGTATTGCAATCCGGGGTAGATAGGTGCTACCAATACCTCTAGTCGGCCGGACTATAAATTGGTGTTTACAGTTTACTGCCTGGCTTAGTCCTTACATAAACTGGAAAGAGGTCTAACCAGAGAACCATATAATCTGGTACTACGGGTGGCCAGTTGCCCGCAGGACTATGTCCTGTCTGGTCAGTTAGTTGAGGTTCCTTCGGGATCCACTTAGTGGCTGTGGTTAAAACCCAAATTCGCGGGAAGAGTGAGTTGCGCTTAAAAGACTGATGTAAGGTAAAGTAAATATTTCGGGATAAGTTCGGTGCTGTTGCCGAAACAACAGATACCCCACAGAGGAGCGGCTGTGGGACTAAGCGTTGGAAATGGGTTGGTGTCAATTGTATATGATACGGGATGAATGTAGAGGTATGCGGGCCTCACTCCACCCGTATACCTAAATGAGTGTGTCGGATAAATCGGAAGTGTGCTGGGTTGAATGATGATGGATGAAAGGTATCATATACAAGTAATACCATTGAATTTTCCTTCCTTGTCCAGATATGTTCAGAGTAAACTCTGTTCATATCAGAATTACCACAGCGTGTCACTGTGAGTAAGAACAAAGTCTCAGCTTATTTGATGGATTCGTACTTCGGTCTACCGGTTACGTCTCTAGGTGCTGTTGCCGAATCAACAGAGCCATCCCATCTGCGTGGTTGTAAACGGAAGTGATGTTTTACATCTCGGAAGTTAAGCAACGGGGCAGCAATGGTCAGAGATTAGATAGCTGAACTACTCGAGCAAAATGCTTGTACATGGACCGGCTTTATCCATGCACAAAAATTGCTGAAAAGTACCACCGTGAGATAGGGCTACAAGCCAGGTACTCACGTAAAGCACTTCGACATTCTTGTCATAAGCTTCGGTGAACAGTCAGTGTATTTCAGCACGGAAAGTCATTTAACGCATTAATTAAATTGGTAGTTGAGAGATATTGATCATGTTTTAGCTATTTATGGGTCAATTCTTGAATGGCTGAACCAGTTATCTGTAAAACTATATACCTGAATATTACATCATTCAGGAACATTGATTCTAAGGAACTATGTCCAGTAATCGGTGGAAACAGCTTTGAATAAAGTATATATGTAGGTGAATCGGTCGATAGCAAACTGTATGCACTGGCGGCATGCATTGACATCGAAGCCGCCTTCAATAACGTGTACACTACTACTCTTATCCAAAAGACTAGTTTTATGTTGACCAGGCTCTCCGTAACTGGATCAAATACAAGCTAAGAAACAGTTGGATAAGCTGCTAGATGTACGACATCGGCAAGAAAAGAGTATTTTGCTGTACACCACCGAGAGGCAATTAGTACCCTTTACTCTGGGTAGTTCACTTGACCAAAACCATTCGACACAACGAGGACATAATTGAAACGGTGGGTAAAACCACAAATGTCCTATAGGATGAACCCGACGAAAGCATTACGAGAAGCCTCCTCAAAATGAGCAAGTCTGAGAGAGCCTGTGCAGAGGAGAACATTATTTGTCATTGTCGGGCTTTCATCGAAATTAGATCAAAATATCCTGGATCTTATTCCGGATATAACATCCCTCACGTACATTGATGGGAAAATTCTTAGGAATTACGTGCAGGAAACTGAGTTTCTGAATATCGGACGTTAATGCCTACATTGATCACAATATCTGACTCTTGTTTTTAACAACAAACCTTTTTTCGTGAAAAGGAGCTCACAACAGGACCGATAGTGGCCTTGGTGTATTTCTTTGGCTTTAACCTCCTATTAACCTAACCTAACCTAACGTCCAGCAAGAGAATTTGCTAAATTTTAATGTCCACTTGTAAATAGAAATGTACTAATACCACTTTCCTACGGTAGGGTGTAAACAGCTGTGTTTACATTTTAATGAAATTCGAAAGCGCAGACTCCTTTAGTGCACAGCTTTTATTGTTGTTGGATTCCTAAACTAAAGGAATGTTGTGTTGTTGTTCTGAAGAAAACGAAAAGAGCATTTAGTTTTCATTCAACTTCCGTTTCCTTAACACAAGGATACTCAACATAAAGCGTTCATTTATACCACGTAAGTGTTGAACGAATAACGGTTTTCTTTTTCTACGGAATTTTTCTTGATTTATTTGAATTTTAAGACGGTGACGACAGTTGAGGACAGTTTGTATGCCACAATTTCTGAGCTGACAATTATGTTAAGTTGTTTAAGTTTTGTGGAGGAGAAGTGTTTTTGTATTCGTAACAAGTATAGATTAGTGTAGTTTAGTGTGCTCGTACATGAGGCAGTGATAGTGGTTAATTATTTACAACATAAACGTGCTACAAAAATTCTTTTATACAAATTTCTTACTTAAGATAATGTAAAATACATTATACAAATGTAAATGTTTGGCAACACAAAATAAAAACAAATAAAAAACCTTTTAACAAACCTTTTTTTCTTGGTTTTGCTCTTTATTTATTTATATGCAACAAAAAAAATAAAAATACTAACAATAAAAATTTAGATTTCTTATGAGTATCAGCCATTGCATAATTTGTTTATTTTTCTTTTAAAATTAACAAATTCCTTATATATTTAATATAATTTAATTTTCTTTTCTTTAATATTTTCTTTTAGATAACCAACTGTAAAAAACCCACAAAATAAATCTTATTTAAATAAAATATCACTTATCAGTGTTTCCCTAACTGCCTTATCTAAACAAAACAAAACAAAAAAAATATATTAAAAAAAATCAAAAAAATTTACATAAAACGTGAGCTTCCTATTTTAAATTCATACAAATTTAAAAAAAATAAAAAAATTAATTAAAATCAAACTAGTAACTGATACAACGAAAACGGTTGTGTTTAAAATAAAACAAAAAAAATCCTAATAAATCTAAAGCAAATTATTAAAGTTTAGAAAAAAAAAACTAGTTAAAGCCTTAAAAGAACAACAACAACCCCTCAACATGGAATCCATGGAATATGAAATGGCACGCAACATGACGTTGCTGTTCTTTTTAGAACGTTTGCTAGACAAAGGCGAACCCCGTACCGTTCACGATTTATCATGTCAATTTGGCAATAAGGAATTCACCAAGGAAATGCGTCAAATTGCCGGTGGATCTCAGTCGGGTAAGTTTTTGTTGTTATTTTATCTTTTTTCCGTTTTTAAATTTATATTCGAAACCAAAATAAAACAATTACGATATACAACGATACAAAGTTATGATGCCGATTGTGAATTGGCCAAATGTTTTAAACTTAATTATTCTGTGGCAAAAATTAAAAAAATACATATCTCAAGATATGCAAAAATCATGTTTTCACGTTTTTGAAATCTCAACTCTATGTAAATTTTTCATAAATATCGGTTCAGAATTTTTTAAAATATCGAAATTTAAAAATTTTTTTTTCTATAGTTTTGTAATGGATTTTAAAACTTTAGGGTTTCCAGGATTCCTATTATGTATCAGTTCAGTTCTAGTTCAGTTCTAATTCAGTTCTAGTTCAGTTCTAGTTCAGTTCTAGTTCAGTTCTAGTTCAGTTCTAGTTCAGTTCTAGTTCAGTTCTAGTTCAGTTCTAGTTCAGTTCTAGTTCAGTTCTAGTTCAGTTCTAGTTCAGTTCCAGTTCAGTTCTAGTTCAGTTCTAGTTCAGTTCTAGTTCAGTTCTAGTTCAGTTCTAGTTCTAGTTCAGTTCTAGTTCAGTTCTAGTTCAGTTCTAGTTCAGTTCTAGTTCAGTTCTAGTTCAGTTCTAGTTCAGTTCTAGTTCAGTTCTAGTTCAGTTCTAGTTCAGTTCAGTTCTAGTTCAGTTCTAGTTCAGTTCTAGTTCAGTTCTAGTTCAGTTCTAGTTCAGTTCTAGTTCAGTTCTAGTTCAGTTCTAGTTCAGTTCTAGTTCAGTTCTAGTTCAGTTCTAGTTCAGTTCTAGTTCAGTTCTAGTTCAGTTCTAGTTCAGTTCTAGTTCAGTTCTAGTTCAGTTCTAGTTCAGTTCTAGTTCAGTTCTAGTTCAGTTCTAGTTCTAGTTCTAGTTCAGTTCTAGTTCGAGTTCAGTTCTAGTTCAGTTCTAGTTCAGTTCTAGTTCTAGTTCTAGTTCAGTTCTAGTTCAGTTATAGTTCAGTTATAGTTCAGTTCTAGTTCAGTTCTAGTTCAGTTCTAGTTCAGTTCTAGTTCAGTTCTAGTTCAGTTCTAGTTCAGTTCTAGTTCAGTTCTAGTTCAGTTCTAGTTCAGTTCTAGTAGTTCAGTTCAGTTCAGTTCAGTTCTAGTTCAGTTCTAGTTCAGTTCTAGTTCAGTTCTAGTTCAGTTCTTGTTCAGTTCTAGTTCAGTTCTAGTTCAGTTCTGTCAGTTCTGTTCAGTTCTAGTTCAGTTCTAGTTCAGTTCTAGTTCAGTTCTAGTTCAGTTCTAGTTCAGTTCTAGTTCAGTTCTAGTTCAGTTCTAGTTCAGTTCTAGTTCAGTTCTAGTTCAGTTCTAGTTCAGTTCTAGTTCAGTTCTAGTTCAGTTCTAGTTCAGTTCTAGTTCAGTTCTAGTTCAGTTCTAGTTCAGTTCTAGTTCAGTTCTAGTTCAGTTCTAGTTCAGTTTTAGTTCAGTTCTGGTTCAGTTCTAGTTCAGTTCTAGTTCAGTTCTAGTTCAGTTCTAGTTCAGTTCTAGTTCAGTTCTAGTTCAGTTCTAGTTCTAGTTCAGTTCTAGTTAAGTTCTAGTTCAGTTCTAGTTCAGTTCTAGTTCAGTTCTAGTTCAGTTCTAGTTCAGTTCTAGTTCAGTTCTAGTTCAGTTCTAGTTCTGGTTCAGTTCTAGTTCAGTTCTAGTTCAGTTCTAGTTCAGTTCTAGTTCAGTTCTAGTTCAGTTCTAGTTCAGTTCTAGTTCAGTTCTAGTTCAGTTCTAGTTCAGTTCTAGTTCAGTTCTAGTTCAGTTCTAGTTCAGTTCTAGTTCAGTTCTAGTTCAGTTCTAGTTCAGTTCTAGTTCAGTTCTAGTTCAGTTCTAGTTCTGGTTCAGTTCTAGTTCAGTTCTAGTTCAGTTCTAGTTCAGTTCTAGTTCAGTTCTAGTTCAGTTCTAGTTCAGTTCTAGTTCAGTTCTAGTTCAGTTCTAGTTCAGTTCTAGTTCAGTTCTAGTTCAGTTCTAGTTCAGTTCTAGTTCAGTTCTAGTTCAGTTCTAGTTCAGTTCTAGTTCAGTTCTAGTTCAGTTCTAGTTCAGTTCTAGTTCAGTTCTAGTTCAGTTCTAGTTCAGTTCTAGTTCAGTTCTAGTTCAGTTCTAGTTCAGTTCTAGTTCAGTTCTAGTTCAGTTCTAGTTCAGTTCTAGTTCAGTTCTAGTTCAGTTCTAGTTCAGTTCTAGTTTCAGTTCTAGTTCAGTTCTAGTTCAGTTCTAGTTCAGTTCTAGTTCAGTTCTAGTTCAGTTCTAGTTCAATTCTAGTTCAGTTCTAGTTTTCATTATTCATTTTTCATACTAACCATAATTCTTATCATAACATGTTGCTCTTAGATTATGTTCACCACAACCGTATTTTTTCTCTGCGTGTATTTATCAATGAAATAAATGCGTTTTAAAACTCTCTTTTTAATATCATATGTTGAAATTACTTTCTTCGCTTAATGAAGGAATATCTATATGGTCATATTTTGCTACCACTCCTAAAAAATGTATGTTTTGTTGGAGGACACGGCCTAACATAGTATTATGATTTTGTTTTTAATTTTGCAATATTTAAGACAATAACAACAATGTTTGAATCAGGTCTTCGTCTTTAACTTCCCTCTTAATAAAATCAAACGAATCATAAGCTATTAAATTGGTAACTTGATAACGCGTTCAATGACATTCTACACATGCCATTGTTTTCATACACTTGTTATTATTTGTCAGATTTACTTTTTTTATTTAATATTATGCAGGTGTAGCATGTCATTGCCTTCCTTGTGGCAACTATTCCAAATACCACATTCAACAATGTTAAATACAAATATTTCAAATTTAATTTTCTATGCAACATTTTCCAACACAACAAATACGGCGACATATCAAAGTCATTAACATTCGTTGATACTTTTCTCTTGTTTTTGTTTTTTTTTTTGACGAATCAAATAAAACTCTAAAAATAATATTAAATACATTTCACATGTACATATGTATGTATGTATTTTTACATTTACGAGAAGCTGTAGTATTTTTACATATTTGTTTACATTGGAGGTTGCTTTAGTTTTACTAAATCCCCTTAAAAACACAACAAATGGATTTGTTTTATTTAGGTATTCAAATCGGTTTTATTAGTTTTTTTATGTTACGTTTTATTTTATTTCGATTTGCTCTTTGATTTTTAACATGTTCCACTCAGTGTGCATAAGGTCTATTTGTAAATTTGTATGTGCATTATGCCAGCATGCAACATTTGTTGTGGCGACTGTTTCCTGTATTTTAGGTTCAATGTGTGTTCATTCATTCATTCCCTCAATCACTCATTCATTTAGTATGTGTGATTTTACTATATATTACTGTTTTTTTCTTTTGTTGCCTCAGTTCAGTTGTTGACTTTTTGAGATATTTGACATTTCAGCGAAATTTGTTTTTATATGTTCATACATAAGGTGAAATTTACACTATTTTATCGACAGCTAGAAACATTCTTTCGGAATTGAAAGGCGTTACATTTTTGAAATATGACAGGAAATGTGGAATATGAAGGATCCCAAAGACCCCTTCATATTCCACATGGATGGATTCAAATAATTCCGTATGGAACGTAAAAGTATAATTACATACATATGTATTAATTTTCAAACAGTCTGTCGATTGTTGATTAAATTTGGGAAACTCAGACCTCAGGATCTTTGGTTAATTTCTTGAATCAACTGTGTCCGAGCTAATCACACTTTCAAATCGAAAGTTTGTTTCAAACATAATAACCTTGCTAACCTTGTTTTCAAAGTATTAAAGATCAATGATTATTGACATCTGGTAAACCTAGTAAGGGTTGGCGTAGCAATCCAAATATATCATCAAGACTATTCATTGCTTACTGTGATCGAACTCGACCCTAGCATTCAATTCTTGTTAAAAAATATGAGCAATCACTTCTCAAATCTCGTTTTTCATGATGTAACGATCAACGTTTCAAAGATCTGATGAGCCACAAAGTTGAAAAATAACCTCCAATGTCTTCGCACGGATCTCACAAGACCAATCATTTTGTCGCTAGGATCTGGGCCCAAATTACGGCTACGATATCGATCGAAATCTCAATAGAATCTAAATGGAGATTTCGATCGATATCGTGCTAAGATCAACATCTTAGCACGTTATCAACGCCCTCTAGTTCATCTAGAAATCTTACCTCTAGCTATTTTTGTCATATACTCTCAGAGGTCTGTCGGAATCTCAAACTAGGGAAGTCAGTTAATTCGAGTTTTACCCTAAATACATATGTATCTTATATGATACCACGGGAATCAGTAGCCCACAAGACTTCCTTTGTGACTTTTTGTGAGTTAACTTCGGAGTAAGCGCAGTAGCTGATGTCACTGAGTGATATGACTTCGCGAATATTGTCGAGGAATGCTCTGAACCAGTTGCGTGTCCCTCCAACTCTTCTGTAATATATACCTCTTTCAATTTGGGGGGAATTGTCAGGGTAACTCTTGTTAGTTGTCAGCAGTGTAGTTTCGGGATCTTAAAAAGGTTGAGGAATGTACTTAGGAGAGTCTCTAGAGGTTGGGGAGCTTCGCCATCGCTCATGACATCGTTGATCTATGTGGTTCGCTTCTGCAGAAGGGAATAATAAGGTTCTATTGACTCAACTTAGTCCCCCCGGAGAATGTTACCTTGCCATCTTATTGTTATTGCAAGAGGGAAAAGAGGTGCTATAAATACAACTAGTCTACCGGGACTATAAACTGGTGGTGTCAAATATATCCTCGGACTTTCGTTGGAATGATT